ACCAGTATGACCACCCATAGAGCAGAACATGACTAAGACCAGTGTGGGCGCTCTTCCGTGCAGCTGTGACAAGAAATATAAGGAAGGAAAAGCCTGCCCACTTAAGATAACACTGACATAACACGAGGGGAAATAGAAAAATCAGGCATGGCTGACCATATATGGAAGGGGAAATGAGTTCACCGCGCTCTGTGGGATGATATTGAAATAATTGAGAACATCACTGGAAAATACGAAAACTTAAAGAATCAGCACATATGTTAGGCCACAAAAATCTCCTAAGCTGACCAAGCATAGACATGAATACAATATGGGAAGTAGTAATACAGAGAGAGCTAGAGAAAAAAAAAAAAACAATAACAAAAAAAAACTGTAATATTATAAGAAAATGAGACATTAGGTATATAAGTCCCCAAAATGCACTCACTGATGTTACAAGTACATTTAGCCCGGTAGAGCGTTGATTGAGTAATCCAAAGAGTTGTGAGTTCAATATCTGACAACAGCAGAGGGAACAAAAACTTGGAGAAGGGACCTACTAAGGGAATTGAACTGAGACATTCAAAAGAGGTACGGCACGTAGAAATAGAACAATCTGTGGAACCAGTAAAGGGTTCAGAATTCCAAAGATATCTTTTCTTTATCTTTTCAGTTTACTTACCAGAATAACGCATAATATGTCTTGTGATATAATGTAATATGCATACACCTGTGTTCCCCCTCATTGGAATATGATTGGCTGGTGTCCGTCATAAATACCGACGGACGTGTAGGTACGACAGAGTGAAAAGCCTTAGTCTGAGAGCTAAGTCTATAACGACGCCTATTGGACTACGCTATTGATCTACACTTCTTACCTGCGACTACGACTCGTACCAGTCGATTACTGCTACGGTATTCTACTTGGTTATAGTAGCCAAAACCACTTAGCTACTTCGTTCAAATATATCCCTTTCCGGGACATATAAATTAAAAAAACAAAACAATGGTATGTAAGAGTTGAACTAGAGAAGGTAGCAGAGAATGCATTATTTTTTTCTGTCTGTCTTTCTGAGATGATTTATCGTAACTGATCAGACTTTTATCTTCATAATGACTATCACATTCACGTCGTTTCGGCCGTTGTACGTATCGGCCTTCTTCAGGTTATATACGTTGGAATTTCGAACCGATCTCTTTATTTAGCCTACGTGGGTAGATTGTTCTAATTGCACGTACCATGCCTTTGAATATTTCAGTTTCAGTTAATTCACCTGGATAACTTTCGCTCTGCTGAGGCCCGGGATTGAACGCACAGCTGTTTGGGTCAAGTTAATTTTGGGATCAATCAATCCACACTTTTACCCATAAAGCTATGTGTCCTTGGGGACAATTATTACCTGAAGAAGACCAGGGTTTACAACGGCCGAAATGTGACTATATCAACAAAGACAAGGACATCAGTCCGAATAATGTAAATAGAAATAATTATTTTGATGGTTGAAAACATTGCGAAATGTTTGTCCATAGTGAGGAAAGAAGGCTTGGAAATTTGACACTCAAAGGAGATATTCAAGGTAAAAGGAAATCAGTGCATGACCTACTTAACTAGCTTGTGTTAATAGTTGTCAGAATTATATATAAAGGAAGTATTACAAGTGAAAGAACATTGAAGAGAGTCATGATCACCAACATCCCGAATGCGCGAGGAGAAGAAAAAGTGAGCAAGGGAAAAGAAATACGGATATGGCGGGAAAAAATGATACAATTTATGCTCAACAGAGAACCTGTTTTCTTCTTTGTTGCTTATTCATTCTTGACATTTATCGGGAAATTATACGTGATTATAAATTATCTTGTGATATATAATATCAAGTTCCAGAGTCACCAAACCGGTTCTTTAAAGGATCAGTAGCAGATATACGCACATACGTCCACCCACCGAAGTGGATATATGTATGTGTCTATATATGAACATGCACGTCTGTGTGTGTGTGTGTGTGAGAGAGAGAGAGAGAGAGAGAGAGGGGATGGAGAAAGAAAGAGAGAGCATGTGGAAGGGAGAGTGTTGTGCGTGTTTGAATGCCGATTTTCGATGCAAAGAGGTTTGACATCAAAGTAACATCAAATTCCTTCCCTAATTCTTAACTTTAGACGACGACTTGCAAAAAGTATCTGAGTTGATTTAATATTTCTCTCTGGGTAAAAATAGATTCAAACATTTCTTATTTAAATTGCGCCAAACAACGACGAAATTTTTTAAACTTTTTACCTCGAGAGAAATATTAAATAAACAGAAATACTTTTCCAAACATTAAATAAAGCAAAATAAAGTAAATAAAATGAAATAAAATTTGTCCTTGTCAATGCCTAAAAGTATAGCCGAAAGCCCTTGGAAAACGTTTGGACAATCATTATATAATTTATGTCCTGAAAAGAGCAGAATCATACGAACACCCTCAACGACAGCAACGATAGATATATAGATAGGTATCAATCCTTGATACACTCATGGGCACGATAGCAAAAGCATGAAAAATGGCATCTGAAAAAGTCCTATAAGGTATATATATATATATATATATATATATATATATATATATATATATAAAGTGAACATAGAAGTCAACACTTAGAAGCGAGAGTCTGTTTCATGCTAGATGCAATCGTCAGGTGGCCTGAAGATTGCATCTAGCATGAAACAGACTGTCGCCTCTAAGTGTTGACTTCTGTGTTCACTTTTTATATTAACACATGCTCTATCTCTGATACTGAGCACTTTATCCCATAAATATAGCACATCTTAAGACTATATTTCTTTTATATATATATATATATATATATATATATATATATATATATATATATATATTGTCATCCACAGACAGACTGTTTCGCTGTATCACAGATCAGCAGTGTGGCTAGACGTCCGGTTGCCTCTAGCTAGGATTGAAAACCAACTAAATCGGCGTCAGTCGGGGATTCTACCACTAAGCCGTTGGCGCACGGCAGGGATGAAGGTGAATTCAAGTGCATTTATTTTTAGATAAACACACAGTGACTGAGAGAACTCGATTCGCTTTACCTATGAGTCTTGCATTATTAGCCGTAATAGTCACTGTTTACAAACTCACATTCCCTCCCCAGAGATTCAACCGAAATAAATTTTTCAGTAGCATATATATTGTCATCCACAGGAGAGAGAGAGAGAGGGGGGGAGGGAATGAGAATGCTGATGATAATAATAAAACAGTACTTGATGTAAGATAACAGATCTCAAATTAATACTTCGAATATATATACATTTTTTCCAGCAATCTCGTTGCAACGTTGATTAAACATCGTAACCGCGAGGTACAAATGAAAAAACGAACCTTATAATATGCCAGTATTATTTATAAATATTTATATAGGTATGATATAATCATTATGAATTACATAAGTTTTATGTTCAATAGTTTTAAACAATAAAATTATTACAACAGTCAGTTTTTAATTTGTACCTTGTGTTATGGAAATGCTCATTCAGGAAATGATTCGTTCTGAAAAGCTTTCTACATGTTCTTTAGCGTGTATATATACATACACATACACACAGATATGCTGTAACTTAGAGAAGGTTACTGAATAGAATAATCGTACGAAGGTTGGTAATGAACGATAATACTTAGGACAAGAACAACACATATAAGATTCGCCAGCGGCATTTAGAAGTAGTAGTCAACTGCTAGAAGTCAGTCCTGTGAATTCCACAATGAACCTCCAACTGCAGGATATCTACCAACCGCACCACGCGGTCAGATGTTAACGTGGGGTATCCGAGCCCGTAGGCTCGGCAAAAAAATAACCTGTAGACGCAGTATAAAACTGGGTCGGGTAACTGTATCCCGAGAAATACTTTGTCCTTCGACATAGCCTCGTCTGCGGATCCTCTCTGCCAGGAGACAGAGAGTTTGACCAGCACAGCTGGAGACGAATCTCCAACTGTAGGATATCTACCAAACACCCCACGCGGTTAAATGTGGCACAAGTCCGAATTTAATATGGGTATCCGAGCACGTATGTTCGGCCAAAAATCCCCGTAGACCACGTATAAAACAGGGTCGGATAGCTGTTTCGAGATTAGACTCTGCCCTTAGACATAGTCTCATCTGGGGATACTCTCTGCTAGGATGCAGAGAATTTGACCAGCACAGCTGGAGATGAATCTCCAACTGATGACCAACATAAAGTATTTACAACTGTATTTATGAGAATGGGGACATACCCATTATCGTCTGTAGGTTTTACTACAACAATATATATATATATATATATATATATATATATATATATATATATATATATATATATATATATATATAACGATTACAGATTCAGATACTGAAACCAATAAATTTGCCTACTTTTGTAAGTTTATATTAAATACTTAAAATGTTCTTCTTCGAGGTTTTTGTAACTAGTTTTTGAAGAATAAATTTTAATTGAAAACATTTATCAGAACGCATAATGGAAATGAATAGAAAATGTGTTTTAAATTCACAAAACACTTAGTACAAATATTTCTTTTTTCATGTGACATAATACATTCCCAAGAAAAACGGGAACCATTAAAACATTACTTAAAAATCTAAAACACACAAATACGTATAAACGTCTATCTGTGTGTCTAGGGGGGATATGTATATGTTAAATGCATGTCCATTTTAATTTTGTAATTTCATTGCGTTATGAATAATAAACAATTGCAAATGAAGACAAAATTATTCTAAAAACGTCGTATTTAGCTTAGTGTTATATTCCTACGCCACTCTCCCTATTTGCTTGTAAAGTTCAAAACATGTTGGAAATTTACAGAAAAAATTCTTATACCATTTTGGATTTGGTAAAATATTCTTTGTTTATAGTCTCAAGAGAAATTATTGAAAAGTATTTCCACATTATTCGCGTTTAAACTTTAAGCAATTTTGGTTTTCTGTTTTCAGGCCAAATTGCAGGATATTGTGGCGAGCCTTGAGTGAATGACCTGGCATGGTGGTAGTGAAGAAGAAGAAGAAGAAGAAGAAGAAGAAGAAGAAGAAGAAGAAGAAGAAGATGATGATGATGAAGTACTACTACTACTACTACTACTACTACTACTACTACTCATATTTTATTATTTCTCGTGCGCACAAAATTCCCAGATGAAAAATTCCCAGAGTTTTGAATCTATTTATCTTATAGTGGTTTAGGACAAACTTAGACCAACAGCATGTGGATTTATTAACAGAAAGCCTTAAAATTAAAACAAAAATTTTGTTAGTCAGCATTTCGTTTATAAAAAAACTAAATAAGAAAAACGGGATAAAAATATAATAAAAAAAAATTATAAATATATGCAAAAATTAAAAATTTGAAAACTTTTCTTAAAAATAAGAAGTTTACAAAATATACAAAAAATATTTAAAATGAGTGGAGATTATAACCAACAGATCGAAGAAATTTGATTTCATCGTCTTGATTATATAGCTCAACATTTCTCATCAATTTATTATTGGCGTCGTGGGTAAGACGATAAACTACATCCGCGTCCTGGGTATGACGATAAACTACATCCAGCAGCAAGGCCTCTGATCAGGAGGTTTTGAGGAGCGTGGAACCACCTCTTAATTGCTAGTGTTCCCAGGTCTACACTCACCCCGGGTGGTAGCACCTGTTAGGGTCCCAGTTATGGGCAGATAGTTAACTATTACCAGCAATACAATTTTGAAGGAAATATATTACCAGAAACAGATTTTTGACAAAACAAAATATTACCAGCAATAAAAATCTTTGTCAGCATTAAATAACCCATTGAGGTTTATATGCCGTAAAAGAAAATAAACAAAACCAATCTAAACCAAAGAATACATATTCTATTCATACGAATCTATCCTATAAATGTTGTCGGCATTAAATAACCCATTGAGGTTGATATGCCGTAAAACAAAATAAACCAAACCAATCTAAAACAAAGAATACATATTCTATTCATACGAATCTATCCTAAAAATGTTGTCGGCATTAAATAACCCATTGGGGTTGATATGCCGTAAAACAAAATAAACCAAACCAATCTAAACCAAAGAATACATATTATATTCATACGAATCTATCCTAAAAATGTTGTCGGCATTAAATAACCCATTGGGGTTGATATGCCGTAAAACAAAATAAACCAAACCAATCTTAACCAAAGAATACATATTATATTCATACGAATCTATCCTAAAAATGTTGTCGGCATTAAATAACCCATTGGGGTTGATATGCCGTAAAACAAAATAAACCAAACCAATCTTAACCAAAGAATACATATTATATTCATACGAATCTATCCTAAAAATGTTGTCGACATTAAATAACCCATTGAGGTTGATATGCCGTAAAACAAAATAAACCAAACGAAACCAAACCAATTTATCATTGATATTTTTTACTTTTTGGGATTACGAATCTCATCTCCTCGTTTGAACTATGGTATTTCTGTTTGCACTAAAAGTTCCTTCTTCAAAAATGTGATGCATTCCTAGATACTTGGATGACACTGTGCGATTGTTTTGAAAACAGAAAGCATTGTTGAACTTTTCAATGCTATTGTTGGTAAGTGACCTTCCCCTCTCCACTCTGGAATGGACATTCCACATTGGAATTAGGAATAACGATATTGCTCTTCTCCTATTATTACCCCTCCCTCTCATAACACCAATGAACGTTAATTTAAAATAAAACAGAAATTCTTCAGGAATATCTTCGTCTTCGGGTCACTCCTCAAACCCTATGTCATGACACGGGATGAACGTCAGAGCTGAAAAAACATCGTTCACTTGTTATAAACAAATCCATTCAGAATGCAGAGAATAAAAAAATAGTATATTTCTTACGTGCCAATTTACAAATTAAACTAATATCTTCTCTGTGTCCGTCAATTTGAGTGTGAATAATAGAATAGGCACGCTGTCAACTCGACTGCAGACGAGTTGAGACTTTTTTGTTGTACCTTTATTTTTGAAACGGTAGGTGTTAGCTGTTTTTTTTGTTTCTGTAAATCTTAAAAACAATAAACCCTTTTAAATAAACTAAAATTTGTATTTAGCACCTTTCTCTAGCTATACATTTTTTTTTACATTTAACCCATATTTTTCCTATATTTATTGTTTTTATTCGTTTTTCATTTAGCGAAAAAAAAATAATGATTTTTTTTAATTAAGAAGGAATTTAAAAAATAAAGAAAAAATAAAGATAATTTTCTGAAAGTGCTAAATTCGAATTTTAGTTTAGAAAGGTGGCCCTCAATTCGTTACAAAGCAAGGCCTCTGATCAGGAGATTTTGAGCGTGGAACCATCACTTAATAGCAGGTACTCCCAGGTTCCCCATGACCCGAGGTGGTAGCACCTGTCAGGGTCCCAGTTATGGGATAATAGTAACCCCCAAACTGGGGTCAAAATACTATGAAGGGTAAAGATATGTTTTAATACGAGCACTAGACTATTTATAAAAAATGATTGCAGCAAGGAATCTTAGTTTGTTCATTATCTATCTATCTATCTATCTATCTATCTATCTATCTATCTAAGTTTATTCATTATCTATCTATCTTTGTTCATTATCTATCTATCTATCTATCTATCTATTTTAGTTTGTTCATTAACTATCTTTGTTTATTATCTATCTATCTATCTCAGTTTTTTCATAATCTATCTATCTATCTATCTATCTATCTATCTATCTATCTATCTATCTATCTATCTCTGTCTGTTCATATCTATCTATCCGCCCCTCACCTGTGTCTGTTTAGATTTCAGAAAATCTCTAGTATATCATTTTGGCATCATCTATGTATATATGTATTCAATGTTTTTCCATATAGTTGTTTCAACCTCTTATCTATCTATCTATCTATCTATCTATCTATCTATCTATCTATCTATCTATCTGTTGAAACTTGACTAATGCATGGGATAATAATACAACTAAATGTATTGAAACAAGAAAGTGTACACAATATTTATATATAGTCTTTTGGTATATTCTTGGAAAGACCGTTCCTGGAGAATGTGTTGACTTAGTCGCAGTCGGGCAGAGTCTCTGGATTGAATCTCTTGTTTCCTTCCCCTGTCTTCCCGGTACCACCCATATTTATATGGTCGGTACTCCACTATGTAAATTAGGTGGATCCTACCACAACACTATCTGTCCCTTATCTATCTATCTATCTATCTATCTATCTATCTATCTATCTATCTATGGTGTACAGCATGAAAGCACAAAAACACAAGAACATTTATCAATATAAATGTAATTCCGTGCTCATTCATTATTTTTTTTTTTTTTTGCAACTATGCATGTTGTATGTGTGTTGTTTGAAATAGCTGCTTTGGATACTAAACTAGTTACAATATATAAATATATAATCGTCGATCATTTCGTAATCGCAAATGTTATAACCGTTTTTTAATTGGTAAATTTAGAACATGGCACTGAGATTTTATTTCTTTTAGAAGCTTAGCAATCACACTCGTTCGTGCTTCCCTAAAAAGGAACAATGCATTTCTGTAATTGAAATACCATTTGTGTCCAGCGAAAAAAAAGAAAAGAAAATGTCTCTGTTGATTTCAAATTTAGGCTTTTGATAACTGCTAAGAATGAGTCAGGCATAAAATATTTTCTGCAAAATCTTTAAATAGAGGGATATTATTTCTATTTTGCTGTTGCATTCTCCATGGGAAGTTTTCAAAAATATAAAACGAGTTGAAATATAGACGAAGCAGGGCTGGAAATATTTACTTAAGTAGTGGAGAAGGTGTTCTCTCACGATAAATCATGATTACGGCCATAAAACTTTGAAACACGAGTTCTGGCCCAATCACCGAAGAGAAGCAACGTTGATTTATTAATATTTGTTTAGCCGCATATCAACATCCTTATGGGTCATTTGATGCTGAAATTTAATTTTCTTTGGAGCATTTGTAATTTCTTTTACAAAAATGTATTGTTGGTATTTTTATTTATGTTTTTTTTTTTTTTTTATTTATGTTTTATAAAAATGTATTGCTGGCAATTTTACTATCAATATGTTTATACTTTCATATTGTTTTGACCCCAATTTAAGGGTAAACTATTTTCAATTAGATGGGACCCTAGCAGGTGCTATCACCACTGGCTAGGGTGAACCTGGGAACAAGAAAATTAAGAAGATCAGAGGACTTGTTGCCATTTGTAGTTTATCGTCATACCCAGGAAACGTTCAGCCTGGTCAGTACACTGAACTGCTTGCAATATACAATGTTGTAAGCGTGGTTTGATTGATAACGGATCGGAATGAGAAAAGCCGAGTTCAAATTCCAGTCGAGTTCGTTGTATTTTTTAACATGCAAATACACTTGGGGAAGGTATGGATCCATGGCTTCTTCCCTCAGCTATGAGCTAAAAAATAAGACAGACCACTTCCTATAGATTTGCTTGGCAACCAGTTTATCGCAGAGAGTAGCTGCTGCCTATAGCAGGAATTATTCTGCCAAGACAACGATGAATCGAAAACTAACATGGGTCAGCGTGGTAATGCCCATTTCCTCCCCATAATCGGCAAAGATAGCGAGTTCTAAGTATTTTTTGCTCTTCTCTTTGCCGTGTTTCTTCAGGACGTTGGCGATCATGGATCTCCACAATTTCCCGTTGTTTGTAGATCTTCAAAAATAAATTTTGTTCCACCATACATTTATTCATGCTCGCTAGGTATGTTATGCATTGTTTACCTTAAATCTGTCCTGTGAGTATCAAATTTTCCAAGCCCTCTTTCTACATTATGTGCCCTAGAAATTTAAACTTTCTGTATCTGATGTCATGCATATGATCCATTTTTGTTTCGTTGCTCTTCTTAATCTGTGATGAAACTATCCAGCATTCATTGCTGTAGAAAATGTCTCATATTACACAACACTCTTTTCTTTGTTTCTAATAAGGATTTACTCTTTCTTAATTCCTCGCCATGAGTGGCAAAGATAGTTGTAGTTTATCGTCATACTCAGGACGGAAGAAATATTGAGCCTCGTCAGTACACTGAACTGCTTGCAATACACAGTGTTGTAAGCGTGGTTTGATTGATAACGGATCGGAATGAGAAAAGCCGAGTTCAAATTCCAGTCGAGTTCGTTATTTATATGCAAATACACTTGGGGAAAGTATGGATCCGTGTCTCCTTTCCTCATATATGAGCTAAAAAATAGGACAGACCACTAGACTTGGTTGGCAACCAGTCTAATGCAGAGAGTAACTGTAGCCTATAGCAGGAATTCTTCTGCCAAGACAACGATGAATCGAAAGGAGACATGATCGGCCATGGGTGTCAGATCCGCTCCTAACATGGGTTAGCCTGGTAGGGTAATGGCCATTTCCTCCCCATGAACAGCAAAGATAGCGAATTCTAAGAAAGGCCTACGTCCATCAAAGTACCTTCATAGGTTGTGAAGATGATTAAACGTAGGAAATAATGGCAAAATGTTTATTTTGATATAACAAAAATAATGATGAGGTATAGAAGAGAAACAACGAAACGAAAACAAATAGAATTATAACAATAATATTAAACGTTTTTTATGTGATAACAAGAGTTTTCTTCTTCAGTGTACTGTGTACTTTCGGGAAGAGGATGGTCATGGCTCTCCCCAACTATCATTGTAGTTTATCTTATTACTATCCTTCCCACCCTCTATCCTCGTTAGCAGTGTTACTCGCTGTTTTTCCCACTTGCTTTTAGTGATTCTTCCTCGAATTTCAACAATCATTTTATTTTTACTTTATTCTGTTTTTGTTTTGATTTTGGTTTTGCTAATCTTTTAAGCAATGCGCTTTGTGCTCTAAAAAGGATGGGCACAACTCGCCCTTTCATATACGATATCTTTTCAATTTTTAACGAGTTCAAATACTTATCCGATATGCTGCTTTCTTTCAAATTATAGCCCATTATCTGCCGGAATGTCGAATTATATACTATGTCTTACAAAAGCTAAGCAAAGTATTAAGAAACAGGAAAATTTCGTAGAAACGATGAAAAGAGTACTGAACTCTTACGTACTATCTGTCATCCTAGATTTTACAAATACATAAAGATGAAAAGAAAACGAAAGACGAAGAGAAGAAAGAAAAATGAAGAAAGAAAAAACAAAAACAATGATTACAAATTAATAAACACGAGGGAGAAAAAAGAAGGAAGAAATGCAATCAGAAGACAAAAAAAGAAAGACAAGGATTCCAAATAAATAAGGATGAAAGAATAAAGAAAGACGAACACAAGAAAGAAAGAAAGAAAAAATGAAAGCGAATTAATCCAAATAAATAAGGATGAAAAGAAAAAGAAAGAAAGAAAGAGAATGAATCCAAAATAATAAAGATGAAAAGAAAAAGAAAGACGAAGAAAGAAAAAAAATCCTGTGAATTACATTTTCTCCAAGTCCGCTTTCCTCTTTATATGTCCTAGAAATATCAATTGTATCTTTCTGGGCCTAAATATAGGCATCCGTTTACTTTCTATTTTCCTCAAAACTTCCCAGTCAGGCTCAGACTTTGTGCGTGTTATTCTCAGTATGCTTCTGTAGAATCATGTTTCTATTGCCTTAAGTTTCTTCCCCGTTCAGCCATCCATTTAGTCAAACTCAGTTATGCCTTCTTTTCCTCTGTCTCTCTTGACTTCAATCTGTCCTGTGAGTATCAAATTTTCCAAGCTCTCTTTCTTTTTCATTATGTGCCCTAGAAATTTAAACTCTTTCTTCCTGATGTCAAATATAGGATCCAGTTTTGTTTCACTAAAACTTCGTCGTTGCTCACATAATCGGACCATGATATCCTCAGCATACGTTCTGTTCAACCACGTCTCTATTGCCTTAAGTCTCTTCTTCATCTGTGATGAAACTGTTCAGCATTCACTGCTATAGAAAAGGTTTCATATTACATAACACTCTTTTCTTTGTTTCTAATAAAGTTTTACTGTTTCTTAATATTTTCAAAGACATATTTTGCTATAAGAAATTCTTAATCGAGTTTCAGTGCCTAATTTTCTATTCTTTCTTGAATCAATTCCTGGATGTTTCAAAAGTCGTACCTGTCAATATCTAGCTTCCATCGCCAACCTGTAATTCTTACAGAAAACGATAATTTTTCTCTTACACTTTCTTTCTTCGTGTTTTCCAAAGCTACGCTGTCTAGCATTTCTTGCAATCTTTCTTTCTGTGTCTACCATCAGCATTCACATTCATTTACCGAGCAGTCATTGTTAACCATTTCCAAGTTAAAACAATTCATAATTTTTCAGGAAAAAAACTTTCTCAAATACCAGTAACTGTTATCGCTCTTTCTATATTCATGGGTGTTTTCTCCATAACTTTTTGTGTGAAGAAGTATAGAGAGTTCACTTCTTGATTATGCTATTATTTTATCTTCGAGTTACAAGTGATATCCAATTTGGGTATTTCTGAAAGTCCTCACGGGGTTCCTATCATTTGGTACAATTCTTTATTTGTAATTCGGTATCACCAGTCCATGAGGTTGGAAGAAGGATGAACCTCGATCAGACCAAAATGTTTAATTCCCACTAAGCCACTTTTAATTGTTGATCTGCGTAAATTGGTTTGGTGCTATCCATGACATACATGAGATGGTCGATTTGACGAGATTGTTTAAGAATATAATTCGAGTTTTTCGGTTAATGTTTTTGGTGCTGTAGGTACTTGCGGTATTCGGCGAAACTATCCTTAGTGCAGCCTATTCTATATTCTATTTCCATATCCCCATATAGTAAATCATTTTCAAGTGATCCATACACGGAGGTATTTGAAGTGTTTTCGTATGTACTGATTGAACGTCATAAATGTTTATGAAGAATTTACCATAGTTAGCATTAGTACTTTCATTCTGGATTCCAAATGATAGTTTACTGCTTTGGAAAGGTCTTATTTCTTGGAACACTTGGTAGAGGATTCATGTCATGTATATACTCCTTGGGCATTTATCCTGACCTGTAAAAACTATACATCATTTAGTGATCCATTATTCAGCGCTTCTTGCAATTTAATAGAATAAGTGAACGATATGATATTTCCTAAATGTGGTACAAGTCTCGACCTTGCCGGCCACGCATGGTTAACCTTCACAAAAAGCGTACTTATTGCACATTTGTCGTGGCAGATCACTCATATCCGAGAGTCCACATGTGGTTTAAACTGTAACTATGCTAAGAAAGCCTTACAGTTGCATTTTCTGGGAGAGAGCAAATTATGTGACTTGATCAAACGCAGCATGCTCAAAAAACACTCTGTCACGATGACTTGCGACTTCGTGCTAGCACAATCAGCGACGGATCTTCAAACAGTTCCATCTATCGAATTTCACTCAGAAGGCTCAGGTAAACCCGTGGTAAATATTTCAGGTACTTTTCTGAGGTGCTCAAGACTGATAACATCCAGAAATCACCTTCCTGATAAATCGACAAAGATGAGATGCGAAATCTGGCCTCATAGCCGAAAACCGCAAGTTCTAACCACACATTCTCCGCGTCCATATTAACATACAACGCCATAAGTCTCGGGGTTGGGATTGCGCATCTTGAGAAAATACACTATGGAAGGCCTATGTTGCACGCGCGATGGACCATCACTTGCATAAAAGTAAAACCAGCTTTCTTCAGTGAAACTTACAGAAAGTCATTTTATGTTGCATCTGATCCTCTTGCATTGTGGCGGCCGTCGATGTCTGGCAAGAGCGGCGCATAACCGCTAACCTACTGCAAATAAACAATGTTCAACGATGCGCTTAGGGCGACATTACTAATCTAGGTAGACACCGTACTTTCTGGCATTGCCAATCATAAAAATGAATCGATCTTGGCGAGTATCTCTTTTAATTTAGTCTAAACTTGCAACAATTTGACCGCCATTACCAGTATTGAAAGTCTAAGGATGCGTCACATTGCACATGCGCAGTAATTCCCCTCGGTTACCATTTGGCCCCTCAATGTGGATTTCGAACAAAGAGTTGAATAAAAGCGGTGTTTGCTTCTTCATGATTTTTGTTTGTTTGCTTGTTGACTTCTTTCTTTGTCTTTTCATCTGTAATAATTTGTAATCTTAGTCTTCTTTCTTTCTTTCATTCTTTGTCTTTTCATCTGTAATTACTTGTAACCTTAGTCTTCTTTCTTTCTTTCTTTCTTTCTTTCTTTCTTTCTTTCTTTGTCTTTTCATCTGTAATAATTTGTAATCTTAGTCTTCTTTCTTTCTTTCATTCTTTGTCTTTTCATCTGTAATTACTTGTAACCTTAGTCTTCTTTCTTTCTTTCATTCTTTGTCTTTTCATCTGTAATTACTTGTAACCTTAGTCTTCTTTCTTTCTTTCTTTCTTTCTTTCTTTCTTTCTTTGTCTTTTCATCTGTAATAATTTGTAATCTTAGTCTTCTTTCTTTCTTTCATTCTTTGTCTTTTCATCTGTAATTACTTGTAACCTTAGTCTTCTTTCTTTCTTTCTTTCTTTCTTTCTTTCTTTCTTTCTTTCTTTGTCTTTTCATCTGTAATAATTTGTAATCTTAGTCTTCTTTCTTTTTTCTTTCTTTCTTTTTTGTCTCATCTTTACTTACTTGGATTCATTCACTTTCTTTCTTTTTCTTTTATTCTTTCTTTCTTTCTTTCTTTTCTTCGTCTTTTTCTTTTCATCTTTATTTATTTGGATTCATCTCTTTCTTTCTTTCTTTCTTTCATTCAGTTTTTCTTTCTTTCTAGTCGTCGTCTTTCTTTTTCTTTTCATCCTTATTTATTTGGAATCATTGTCTTTCTTTTTTTCTTGTATTCTGATTGCTTTCCTTCCTTCTTTTTTCTTTTCATGTTTATTAATTTGTAATTTTTGTTTTTCTTTTTTCTTTCTCCATTTTTCTTTCTTGTCTTTGTCTTTCGTTTTCTTTTCATCTTTATGTATCTGTAATTTTCATCCCTTTTTCTTTCCTGATTTCTTGTCTGGTCTTCAGACTTCTTTTTTTTTATTTTCTTCCTTCATCTTTTTTTCATCTCTCTTTATTTTTTAATCTTTGTCATTCTTTGTTTCTTTCTCATTCTTTCTTTCCTTCTCTCTTTCTTGCCTCAATCTTTCTTTTTCTTTTCCTCTTTATTATTTTGTAATCCTTGTCTTTGTTTGTTTGTTTGTTTGTTTGTTTCTTTCTTTCTTTCTGTCTTTCTTTATTCAGCTCCTTTTTTTGTCTTATGTTCAATTTTCTTTCTCTTTCTTTCTAATTTTCTTTATTTTATTATTATTCTATTCATCTTTGATTTGAAGACCAGAATTCAAAATATAAAACCAATTCTGATATGCTTGATAAAATTCCCCTGCTCTAGAGAATGAATATTTTAGAGATAAATTTGTTTACATTCTGTGCTGGCGGTCAGCGTTCATTTCAAAAAAGTCGAAGCGAGTCAAGGAGAGAGACAGAGAGAGAGAGAGAGAGAGAGAGAGAGAGAGAGAGACAGACAGACAGACAGACAGACAGAGAGTGGATGAAGAAAATTCAGACACATTCAATCCAAAATTCATTGTCTTCTCCTAAATATCAATATGAAGAATTATAACACCGAAAATTTCACTATTTCTTCTAAAACTGAAGGAAATCAAAACAGTACTTTTCAGGAATTTCTTTCATCGAAGGGCAATGGCACTACTACGACTACTCTAATACTACTACTACTACTACTACTAAAGCTAATAACCTTAATCATGATACTAATCATAGTACTAATTAGGTGCTTTGATTCCAAAATAGCGACTCACTGTTTGTGAAAAGGAGTTTGGTTTGGTTTGTTTAGGGTCATATCAACCTCATTGGGTTATTTAAACAAATTTTTTAACAAAAATCTCTTTCTGGTAATGGTTTTTCCTTCAAAATTCCATTTCTGATAATTTTCTTTCAAATATGGTAATATTTTTTTTTTTTCAAAAATGTATAGCTGTAATATATAGGACGTAGTTTATTTGTTTTTCAAACGCGTTGCTGACAACATTTGTTTTCAAAAAAATGCATTGCTGGCAAAATTTGGTTTTCAAAATGCATTGCTGTTTGGTTTTCGTAAACCTATTTTTACACTTTCATAATGTTTTTTTTTTTACCTCAGTTTCAGGGGTCAACTATTTCCCCAGGACGGGTTTGGGAACAACAGAAAAAGGTGGTTCCAGCTCCTCAAAGATCAGGCCTTGCTGTTTGGATCGTCTTACCTTACGCGGATGTAGTTTATACCCAGGACGTTTGTGAAAAGGTGAGAGACATATATATAATACGTGTTTCGTAACATGTGGGAATAGAGGAGAATCAAATTTAGGGAAGAAATTAAATAATTTCAAATTATCCGCTTCACTGAAAAATATTTTGAAAATGTTGCGGATCACGCTGATCAGATATTGGACCCCAGATTTAGGTATTTTCATCATAGAAAAAAAAACATCATGCCTCTCAAAATTGAGTAATATTATTTTGAAAAAGGCAATAAGTTAATATCTACAAAATCATAGTGCTGACGCCATTGATTTATATTTCAGGAGTTTCTCAAATGCCTCCATTAGATAGGCCTCCACATATTTTTCTTGCGCAAAAGGATGACTTCATTAAAAAAAAACCCTAAGTATTTAATTCCCTTCAGCAGTGAGAATAGATTGGAAAACATTATCTACACTTCTTCTGTTATCTGCCGTGTACAGTCAGGGCGTAGATGGTCATGGGTCTCCAAATTTTCATGACCTTTCTTTTCATGTCTCTTTACTATCTGTCCTAAAACCTGTTCTGCCATCTCTTAACATAAGTCAGGTAGGTTAAGCATTATTTTCCCCTGATTCCCTTGCCTTCAACATGGTGATTTTCTAAGTGTAGCTCAGACATGGCACACAGTTCAAATTTTGGGGACACCCAGTGAGGATCAAATTCATTTTTCAGCCGTAATGTATCCATCGAGACTAGCTTGCCAAACCTTTACACCACGTTGAAATCCCCCACATGGCTTCAATATGTCATGTGAGTATCAATTTTTCTAAGCCTTCTTTCCTCATTATGTGCCCAAGAAATTTCAACAGGTATTCTCAGTATCTTTCTGTAGAAGCATATTTCGGTTGTCTCAAGTCTTTCCTCCATCATTGTATACCTTTCTGGACATCTAGGATGACTTATAGTACGTAAGAGTTCACTACTCTTTTCGTCGTTTCTACAAAATTTTCCTGTTTCTTAATACTTTGCTTAGCTTTTTGGAAGACATAGTATATAATTCGGCAGATAAAAGGTTATAATTTGAAAGAAAGCGGCATATCGGATAAGTATTTGAACTCGTTAAAAATTGAAAAGATATAGTATATGAAAGTGCGAGTAGTGCCCATTCTTTTTAGAGCACAAGGTGCACCGGTTAAGAGATTAGCAAAAAAAAAAAAAAAAAGAAAAGAAAAAAGAGCAGAATAAAATGATTGTTGAAATTCGAGGAGGAATCGAAACCCTACAAACAACTTTATTGCTTAAGACAACCAACACATTAAATACACTGCTGAAATATTTGGTTATAATTTCTCTAATCTCTACACTGACTGCCAACCTATTTCCAGTAAATATGTCGTAGATTGCATTGCCTTCACAATGAAAGTCTTATTTAATTGTACGTAAAGATTGTTCGGAAAATAATGTCCGATTTTAGAATCAACTTTATTCCTGTATTAAATATATTTAAATCATTCAGTTTAAATTTTCTGCTGTGTCATCCTGGCAACGTGTCATGAAGCAAAATTGCTGATCGTATTCTACTTTACTGAATGTGGATTTCATGCAGTTGTTGGCAGTAAACTTCGGTAGTTTTGCCTTGGTTAGATTCCAGAAAGCTGTAATGGAGAACGCCAATGGTAGACGACTACACAGTTACTGTAATCTTTTGTTGGTGCAATTTCAGTTTCGGAAAGAGTTTGGATGCTTCGTCATAACGAAGCCATTGAGCCGATCGTTTACGATTGACATAAAAGATACATTTTTCATCACAAGTTACCATACGATCAAGAAATGGACAATTCGAATTTTGCAGACGCAGCATCGGATACACTTCAGAATATCGAACTATTTAACTTTCACGGAGTTCATTTCGGAAGACATTTATCAAAGTTCTTCACTTGGCCAATTTTCTTGAGATTATCAGATATTGTTGAAAAACCGACAATCATTATCTGGAATATTTCTGACACTTTGATGTGGCTCCTGTTTGAAAAATGTTTACAGATATGGATTGCCAAATCGCAGATGCATTCAAAACACGTACCCACAGAAATAAGGGCGGTACTGTCTGATCAAAACTGGATCATTCATCACATTCACTGTTAATGTTGGCAGCAGTATGAAAACCATTATGACCAAACGTGACATCACGCAACAAAGAAAATGCATCTCTTCTTTTTCATGTTAAAGATGAGATGAACATATTTTAAGATAAATTCTCAAAGAGATTGATATAAAATTAACAAAGAGGACATTTAATCGTTAAGAATGAGTTGTATATTTTTGAACAGATATTATAATAATACAGGCTGTTCATAAAATTCGTGTGCACTTTAAAAAAATTATAACTTTATTTGTATGTGCGATAGAAATAATTTGTAAAAAGGATTAGAAAGAAGTAAATCTATATTTTTCAAGGTTTCATTGACATTTTATTTAAGGTTCCACATGTCCTCCATCGTTAGCAATACAAAGGGTAATACGATTTTGCAGTTGACGGAAAACATTTGCCAACTGATTTACAGTAATGCCTGAAATCACATTAGTTATTTTAGCTATACTTAAAACTAGGTACATTAAACGTTTTTACATTTTTACAGATTATTTCTATCGCAAATACAAATAAAGTTATAAATTTTTTAAAGTGCACAGGAACCTCATGGACACCCTGTATATTAAAACACAAAATATTAATTCTAAAACTGGACAATTTTTCCGAATAGCCAAATAATAATAACCCTCTGAAACTGAAATGTGGTGCGGAGAAGACATTTGAAACTGGATATAAAATCTTTAAATACATAACGAAGACATTAAAGCAAACTATATGAAAACATTGCCCCCCCCCTATACAAGAGCCAAAGAACATTCAAAGCACAGGCTTACGGAATTAAGTTGACCTAAGTGGAGATGGTAAGGAGTATAGATTATAAGAATATCTAGGATGGATAAATATTGACCCTAGCCTTGAAGAGGTTAAGACATGGAAAGCAACCTCGCGGGAGTTGTTCCAGAAAGCAGAGGCTCTTAAGAAGAAGCTGTCGGAATATAACTTTTTATGAGTGGGGTACGAAGGGTACATGTAGATGGACTGGTTGGTTTTATATGTAAAGGCCTGGTCTGGTGGCACCAAAGAACGTTTTCATGAACGGCTTGCGATGTTTCGCCTCTCGGAAAGGGACTGTTAGTAATTATTCATCTTCAAAAACGCATAGGCTCTTTTGGACTCGGTCAAGTCAGGAAACAGAGGAGCGAGCAGCTCCAGCCAAGATATGGCAGCAGCAATTCTCCAAGTTCGA